AGGATTGGCAATAGATGTTAGCTCAGAGCCAGTCTTCCTCAGCAAAAAGAGGAGGATTAGCATGGATGTTAGCTCAGGGCTGATCTTCCTCACCAAAAACAAAAGAGAGACCACAGAAAGAACTTACCACAGAAGAAAAAAGTTTTAAGTTGGACATAATCAAAATTAAAAGCTTGTGCTTATCAAAAGACATCAATATGAAAATGACTAGACAAGCCAAAGTCTGCGAGAAAAGTCACAGCTTCTTGTAAAGTTGATCATTTACCTCTTCTATTACCCAGCAATCCTACTCTTAGGTATTTACCCAAGAAAAATGAAAACATTAGTCCACAAACAGACTTGTACACGAATGTTCATGGCAGCTTTATTGATAATATCCCCAAACTACAAACAACCCAACTGTCCTTCAGTAGGGTAAACAAATTGTAGTATTATTCATGTAATAGAATATTGCTCAGCAATGAAAAAAAAAAAAACTATTGATACCCAGTTGGATGAATCTCAAAAACGTTATGCTGAATCAAAGAAGCCAAACCTAAAAGAGTACATACTACATGATTCCATTTATATAAAGTTCTGGAATAGGCAAAACTAATCTGTGAGGTTACATGGATCCTGCCAGGGTTGGGGGTTGAACTGGGGTGGAGGGACATGAGCAAACTTTCTGAGGTAATGATGGGGTGAGTTACACAGGTTGTGTGCATTTGTCAGACCTCATTGACCTCTATGCTTGAGATATGGACATTTCACTGAATGTAAGTTATACCTCGATAAAATAAATAAAAAGAACCTACACCATAGGGTTGTCTTGAGAGTTAAATAAGAAAAATAATGTCCCTGGGTGATGATATTGTTGTTTGTTGGAATGTGTTTTGTAGGTGGAATGAAGTAACTCGGAGAATAGAAATGTGGATCTCCATACTGGAATTGAATGAGTTAGGGGAATACGCTGCAGTGGAGCTTCATCAGGCAAAAGATGTCAACACAGGAGGCATCTTTCAACTGAGACAGGTACTAAGTTTGTTTTTGTTGTTTCATGTTTTCTCTCTGTCCCACTCATACACAGTTTCCTGGGAGTTTTCTAATTATTTGCCTCTTTGTTCCCTAATTCTTTTCCTTTCCTTTATCCCCTCCCCCATCCCTCTCCATTCCCATTCTTGGCACCCATTTCCCCATCACTCACCCATCACACCCCCACCTCTGCAGGGTCATTCCCGGAGAGTGCAAGTCACAGTGAAACCTGTACAGCATTCAGGGACATTGCCACTTATGGTTGAAGCCGTCTTGTCAGTATCCATTGGCTGTGTGACTGCCAGGTCCACTAAGCTCCAAAGAGGGCTGGACAGTTACCAGGTAAGACAAACAGATTTGAAATAACAAAGATTGATTAATGCAGAATTAAGGCAGTCAGTGATCTGTGATGGAGACCTGTTTGGGAATATAACAGAACTCCTTGGCTTAACCATGTATCTGTGTCCCCCCCATTCATATTTCCATCCATTACCTTTTTTTTCAAGATTTAAAATACTGTATTGGCTTGGGGTTGATTAATAATGATTTTATGTATAAACACAAACATATTAATGCTATAGTACTCATTTACTTAAGGCAGGGTTTATTTTATATCTAGCCCAATTATGTTGGATCTTTGGCATTGCTGCCTAGCCTGATCCACTTTTATTAATATGAAATTACCCCCATACACTGGCATAATTAACCAGTTCTTTGAAAGCTCTACTTTTTTTTTTTAATTAAAAGTTGTCCACCTGCTCATTTTTGTCCATTAAATCTCCATTTACTAAACTTCTGTTCTCATTTTAAAAAATTAAAAGATGAAAACTTTAAGAATTGTTCTTCATATTACCAGTCAGAACTCTGTGAGAATTAACTTTAAGATTAGGAAACTTGACTTCTGTGGCCTGAAAGAATGCATGTGCTTCACGAAGTCCCCACTTTACCAGCAGATATGACTGGGAAGAATCAGACCATTACATTCTGGCTCCCTCACGGCCACACGTGAGAGGGAGGGAACATTCTCCCTATCATGACAGAGAGAAAGTGTTTCTCTGGGGAGTCTGGGCATAAACCCAGCTCTTCTCAAGAATGATTCATCTTCTATCTCAGTTTCCTTTTGGATTCGTGGCATTCAGGCAAAGACTTTTCTGAAAGCTAAAAAGAGCATTGGCTTGGACTGTTGGGCCTTAAGGAAGGCCTTCCGGCTCTCAAAGCCTGAGAGAGTATGAATCAAGGTTGGAGGATAGGGTCTGCTATTTTGGGAGAGGCTCCCCCACCAGACTTTTCCTTGTGTGTGGAGTAGGAAATTGGATTGTATGTGCTCTTGTCCCAGTTCAGTCCCTCACTTGGCCATCAACTTTGGGGTGGCTGCAGGGCCTGGTAGAAAGAACGCCAGATCCGGAGTGGGGACACCCAGGTTCTTAAGTCTAGGTCGGTCTTACTGAATGGTTCCCTTGTCTGGGTAATTTGAACTTCACGTTCCCTTTTTCTCTTCTCCAAAACAATAAGGTAGACTTCATAATTCCCTGAGGTCCCTTTTTGCAGTAAAATTTTGTGGCTTAGTAAATCTCTGATCTTAGATAAAACTTTGAATCTCTGTGTCCTAAACTGTGACCTCCAGAATATGGATCATTAACGGACTAAATGTTCCCATTTGAGGAACATTATACAGACTGATGATCTGCCCTTTTTCAAACAGCTGTACTTCTTGAGTTAAAACTGATCTTTGTCACAATTTGAGCTCTAAAACATCACCCTTTCCCCAATGCCGTATGTTCTTTTAAGAACTTAGTAGCAGCCATGCAAATTTAAACTGTGACTGTTTTAAAGCTTTTATTTTTCTTTGCTGCCATGCTCAAGGTCGTGTCCAGTAACTTTTTGTTGCTGTTGACGTAGTGCTTTAGAATTATTCTGATGCAGTAGTTCAAGCCAATCCAGAATGTGCTGATTTCACAACAGTTCTACATCATGAGAGCTCAGACTAGTTTTCAGTTAATAGAAGTGTGTCCTTAGTCTAAAAATTAATGATAAATTAGAGCTCTTTGTACTTTATTCATTAATATGGGGAATTAGTTCAAGAAAAATTACTTCAGTATTAGGCTTCCATTTAATAAGTTAGAATTATTTAAATGATAATGATGGTTACCAAACTAAAAAATGTATCTCGAAGTTTACACAGAGAATAATTTTAACTATATTTTTAAAGTGCTTTAAAAAAAGTATAATTTGATGTATACTTAGATATAAGAATAATTGAGCTGTATTTTTAAAGCATTTGAAAAAAAAAGTTTGTCTTTTCTATAACTGACCACGTCACTGCCTGTTTGAATATTAACCTTCCAATAACCATGGAAAAATGACAGAAGGATGTTACATGGCCAAGCATTCATTTTGAGTAGAGCCTGCTTCCATATGGGTGGATATTCTCTACAAATGGGAATTTCTTGATTCTAGTTTCTAAGGAAAATTGTCTCAACTAAAACCCTTTTATTTTGCAACATGGTGAATTTGTTTTGCCAAGTGTTTTTGCCAAAATTGTTATTTTATGTAATTATTGTAAGATGTTGCCATGGGTTTAGGACAGTTCTGATTTTTTCCAACTGATTGGTATGGATACTGCTGTATCCAATAGTGGATAATGATAGATCCGTATATTCAAAGTAGTGGCCTGTGCTTTTATTGCAGTAGTACAGTAGTACAGTATAGCCTGGGTTCCCAGTGGGCTTTCATCTGTGACGATTTCCTCAGTGGGAGTGGTGTGGGGCAGGCAAAAGGGCACTGAGGTGGGAGACTGAAGGCCTGGCTTCCAGTCTGACCCTGCCACCATCTGTCTGATCCTTGGGTTAAATCATTTCATCCTTCAGGGCCTTAGCAGCCTCAGGGCTAACACTAAAAGATTAAGCAATAGAGTCTAGTTTTGCCATTCTGTCTTTCTAAATCCGTTCTAAATCTCAGCCAAATAGCTCACCCATAAATATATGTCAACTATTTGCATAACAGTGGAGCAAGGCCTGACCCAATGGTGTTAGTTCCTCTTATCTAAGAGAGTTCTTTTTTTAATGACTCCTTTCTTTATTTAAAAAAAAGAACAAAACTTAAATTTTTTAAGTAATTATAGACAAGTGAATTAAATCCACTAAACCTTTTTTGAGCTTCAATTAAATGTTTTATTATGCTGACGTCGTGTGTGCTTTTCATTGTACTGTGTGTGTTAAGCTTAAAGAATTATCTTCCTTGTGTGCTGTTTGAGAAACAAAATGCATGTCCTTTGTGTTTATTTTTTTCCTACCAGAGAGATGATGAGGATGGTGATGATATGGATAGTTATCAGGTATTGCTGCTGCTGTCAATCCTGTGGCATGGGGCACAGCTACTGCTAATTGCCAGCATCCGCAAAGCAGAGGGCAGGGAGGAGGCAGGAGGACTATAGGGCAACAATATTCAGTTCTTCACTTGCTTTTGATTTGCTTTAAGTGTAATCAGGGCTACAATACTATTTCTGTAGATTCCTCTGTCAGTTCAAAATTTATAACCAGATACTGCATTTTTGCTATGCCATCTCCAGTTACTAGCTTACAGACCCTTTCTAATTGAGACCATTATCACTGTGTCAAATTGGTCATCTTAAAAATTGTGCAGTTACCCATCCATAATCTTGAAGCAGATTCTTGTCTTTCCTATGCAAAACTGCACTATCTCCTTACATCCAACAGACTGGTTTTGTTTTAATATGCCATTTTACTTTAAAAGACTCTTGCTGGATAGGAAAACATAGTTTTTTTTGTTTAGCTAGTTTTCTTCTCTCGTTAGGACAAAGCTTAGTTATCTATAACCTGAAGAATTTAAATCTGTTTTTTCTTTTTGGAAATCTAGAAAAAAAAAATATGTGCTAATGTGAAATTTCACCTAGTCAGTGCTGACTGGCCTGCTATCATGAAATGTGAGATAATAGTAATGTCAAGGTGGCAAACTGGGAGGAAGTTTTCTGGGTTTGGTTCCCAGTATTTCTACTGATTCTTCACATAAGTTTTCAGAGCATGTTTTCTCAGTGTGCCTTCCTGTTTGTAAAATGTGGGTACATTGTAGGTCAAGTCTCAGAAGTCCTCAGGTGTCTGCTCTTAATGCAACGTCTTGAGGATTAGCCTGGAATTAGGCAAGTCAAAGAGAATTCTGAATGGAATTGGTGGGTTTCTTTCCCTCCTCGTAATTTTACTAAGAAAGAAAACGAGCAAACAAAAACACACCTTAGGGGAAATAGCAGCATCTCCTTGGATCTCAGCAACGCTATTAACTAACGTCCTGCGGCTGTCTGTGCGCTTCCTGCCACGTTGTTCACGGTGAAGTCCAGCGGCTGCTTCTGGGAGACCTTAAAGCATGGCTGACTGCATGTTGGGTTTTTGCATGGGAGATTTTTTGGTTAGCCTCGCAGTAGTGGTTGGAGGTAAAATCTTTGCGGCAAGTTTGAAAGGTCCACTGCTGATCTATTCTTTGCATTTCAGAAAATACGCGTTATCAGGCCATTGAACTATGAACTATGAAATGCCTGTCGTTTTCCATTCCATTTGCTCTTACATGGTTTGGGCTCTGTTCATGGTGTCCTGCTTGGAATTGAAAATCCTTCAAATGAATAGCTATAATTTAAATACACACATGCACATACTATGTAAGAATCATCCAACAGCTGGTATAGTTTGAGCTTCTCTTGCTTTTAAGTGTAATTATCCTTTTGGAAATTCAGGGGCTCTGATTTCTGAGTAACAAGATCCTTGATCAGCATGCAGTATTACCAAGGCCTCTCTGCTTTCTGGCATATTAATCACACAGCAATGTTCAATGGCCTTTCCTAATGAAAAGTTTCCTAATCAAACATCTTTTTTTAAAAAACGAAATAGTTGTCTATGCATTCTACAGGACAATGTTTTCCCTCCCTGATGTCAGGAAGAAGACTTAAACTGTGTAAGAGAGAAGTGGTCTGATGCACTCATCAAACGACGAGAATACTTAGATGAACAGATTAAAAAAGTCAGCAATAAAAAAGGTATGTGAGATTCAACTCTTTCCTGGGAATAGCTTTTCACTTCTAGACAATGGTGGTTGGTTGTTTTCTTCCATTCGTTGGACAATAGTATCTTAGTTTTTTGAACTTGTAACAATTATAGATATTAATGAATCATACAGTGTTAAGAAGGCTCTGAATTCGAAGGTAATAAGTTTTCCTAAAACTCTAACTACTACAGTAAACATTAAACTCAAATTTCGCTTTGATAAATGCAAATGCTATCCATACCAATATCTCGGTATGAGGTGTTCCAGGCTCAGAACCTGGGACTGACAGCAGATAAAGGGTCACTTCTGAAACCGCAGCACTTGCGAGGTCAGCCCCAGCGCCTGTTGGGCGGTAGCCGTGCGCTCAGCTAGTCCAGCATGGCCTGAAGCTGGCCTGCAGCTCCACTCACGGCCACTCACCTCCACGGCCACGCAGTGTGCCTCTGCTGGCAATGGCCGCTTGGATGCTAGAGTAGAAATATGCTCTTACAACCTTTAGTCTCTCATTCTGACCTCATGATCCACTCATTGTGGTTGATTCTGCACCAAAGGACACATCGTGAATGTTAATCCGTTTCATGTAGAAGCTCCAAAAATTCTCCCTCTGTGAAATGTCTTGGTTCAGCGTTCCTGGTGTCTGTTTGTGTCTGTGCTTAGCCTGCTAATGAAAACTCACTTTGACTGTGTCCAGGTAATCCAGAGTTGGATTATGGGTAAGAGGATTTCAAAATATATCAAATAAAATCCCTTTCATAATGAGCCTGAAGGAAAAGAAATTTAGTTTTGCAGAGTGCAGTATATGGTGTTTTTTAATCCTCTATCTTTATAAAAAGGTGTATGGTTTTATAAAGTAGTGTCACATCCATTATTTCATTTGATCCTTCCAACAAGTGTGTGAAGTAGACATGACTTGTATTATCCCTGTTAACAGATTAGGAAGGTAGACTCATCTGCTGAATAACTTCCCCAAATTGCAGAACCAGTAAAATAACCCAAGTCTTCTAATCCCTGTTCTAATGTTCTTTTTACTCTTCCTGGTTTGCAGTCCTTTAAGCTGGTGTCGTGGCCTCTCTGAGCTCATCTTGGGCTTGAGCTTCAAAGCCTCAAATCCTTTTTTGGAATGTAGTGAATGTTTAAGTCATTTGTACACATCACCAAATAAAAATCTATTTATTTTAAATGTGGAAATTGTACTTTCTCCCTTCTTGGTGCTCATCCCCTCATTTTGTCCTGCAGAGAAAACAGAGGATGACATGGAGCGGGAAGCCCGGCTTGTGGAGCAGTGGGTGGGGCTGACGGAGGAAAGGAATGCTGTGCTGGTGCCGGCGCCGGGCAGTGGCATCCCCGGGGCGCCCGCTGACTGGTAAGTCCACCAGGCCTGAAACAAGGTGGTGTGGATGGCCTGTGGCAAGTCATGCAATTGACTTTCCAAGATTGTCACAGTGAATATTAAGTAACATGAGCTGCCCAGGGAAGGGCCACCCATCTCTAGGGCTGCCTTCTCTTTTTTTCCTCCCCACTGCAGCCATCTTCCTTTCACAGGAACCAGAGAGCATTTATTACCTGGCCAGGAATCATATACCACACTCCTCAGTCCTCTGCATGAGCAACGTGGGCATGGTTTCCTGATCTCCAGAAATTCTCTTATTTTAAATTTTTTATTCATTTTTTTCCCCCAAAGCCCCAGTAGATAGTTGTATATCATAGTTGCACAGCCTTCTAGTTGCTGTATGTGGGACGCGGCCTCAGCATGGCCAGAGAAGCGGTGCGTGGGTGCGTGCCCGGGATCCAAACCCGGGCCGCCAGCAGCGGAGCATGCGCACTTAACCGCTAAGCCACGGGGCCGGCCCCAGAAATTCTCTTGTTTTAGCTTGAAAGAAGGGTGTTTCCAGAATACAGTTGAAGAGGATAGAAAATATATCTTCTTCTTTGCCCTGGTGCCTGCTTAGTTTTGTCACTAACATAGAGTCAGCACTTAATCACTCCATAAACAATGAACAGTCAATCAATCGATCAATTAATCCTGATGCCCATAAAAAGCAGCATAGTATCCTAGGCTGTGGAGTCAAATAGATCTGGATTTAGTTTCCAGCTGCAGCTCTGAAGTGTTAAGTTTCCTTAACTTCTCTGAGGGTTTATTCCTGATCTATTAATGGAGATCCTTTTTGGTACTGTTGTAAGGATTAGAGATCATATATAAAAAATACCTTGTCCGTCGTGCCCATTCATTAAATGGTAACTGCTGCTGCTGCTTGTTCTCATTCTCATTCTTGTTCCAAGGATATGTCCTAGGCATTTAAGAGAAATCAGGTTCCTTTTGAACGTAGAATGTACATGTCAAGATAATCTCTTTTGGATAGGTGTAGAAACATTAGTGATGTTATTTGTGTCTAGAATGATAAATGGAATTGTAAGTGATTTCATGGTCTTATGAAACTAGAAAATCTGAATTTGCAGGCACATAATTTGTAACCTAATGTTTCTCCCTGCAGATTCTCCTGTGGTGCTGGAATCCTGTAGGTCACATACAGGGTATCTGCCAGCCACTTTTTATAAACAGCCAGCTCATTCCCAGTCTTGTTCTGCTCCATGAGCCCCTCTCTAGACAGCTCTTCCTACCTCAGTCTCTTTGATTTGAGGTGTTTCCCAACTTCAGATCATCTTGAATGTCTGTAAAATGTAGAGTCCTGGGTCTCATCCCTAGTTATTTTGATTTGGAAGAAAAAAGGTGGGCCCAGGACTTTTCATTTTAAGAGGCCTGAGGTAATGCTGATGCAAGTGGGCCAGTCTTTGATAAAATACTGCTTTGGTCTTTCCTGCACACGACCCCGCCTCCTTTCACACGTCTTGCATTGTCTCCTCCTTTGAGCTTTTTAAATATTGTCCCTTTTCTTTACTTCCTCTGGGTTCTGATCCTGTTCCCTGTTCCCACTCTAACAACATCCCCTTCCCTTTTTCCCATCACTAGAGTTATTTTTAGAAAGCCTTCAAATAATCTTTGTTTCAGTTAATTACATGTAATTCATACAACTGGTAGTTCTTTATATGTCACATAATTCCCATGATTCGTGTTAATAGGGATATCAAGAAATGTGGAAATATTTCATTAATAGAACCTGTATGTCCACAGTGTTTCTCTTCTGCTTCCATTCCTCTGTGGTGTTTGATTATCTACCAAGGTATAAAACATATATTTTGTTACGATTAAATTTTATTATTAAATTTAGGATCCCACCACCTGGAATGGAAACCCACATACCGGTTCTCTTCCTTGATTTGAGTGGTGAGTAGACACCTAATATTCCAGGAGTTATCACGTTTAATTAAAGGTTGTAATCTGTTCAGACCCACATTATTGTGATCCTTAAATCACTTTTCTAATCACTCATATCTAGGTGACGTTTTTAGTCCAACCAAATATATGTAACAACGACATATGGAATCACTAGAAGAGAGATGTGTATATTTAATCATAAAAAGAGAGCACTTGGGAGATTGAGAACTGCATACAAAAATATTAAAGCAGTTATTGCTCTGAAACTTTAACAGACACAGAAATTACCTGAGAAAGTAATCACCCTCAGAGATTCTGAATCTTTTTGCTGTGCAAGGGCCTAGGAATGTGCATTTCTAACTAGTACCCTTTGCTCCCCATGCCCAATAGTATTGGTTCCAGAACATAATCACACTGTAACCCTGCATTAAAGGTTGTCCTTTGCAATAGCAATTAGATCAAACTTGGGTGAACCTAGAATAGTGGTTTTCACTGTGTTTTAGCAGTAAAATCCATTTTCAAAATGAAATCTTTAATGGAACCCTATGTGTAAAATACAAAAGCAGAGTTGCAGGGTTTGGGGATGGGCAGGCTCTGGCAGGCCCTTCTGCCGGGCCCTTGGGATCCTTAAAACACAGCCTGAATACCTGTCTTCTGGAGGGAAGGCCAATAATGGATGAATGGAAGACATGGGGAGGTTGGCTTTGGCTCTTCATTTGAAGAATTTTTTAAAAGCCTAGAAGTAGACTGAGTGCCACATGAAGTGGTGAGTTCCCTGTTTTTGGAGGTGTATAAACAAAGGCTGGATAACTACACACAGAGATTTGTGAAGAGTGAATCCCACATTGGGTAAGGCATTGGAAGAATATGATCTTCACGTCTCTCCCAAGTGCTCAGAACTTTGATTCTAAATTGATAATAGAACTGCTCAAATCTCTAATTTAGTGTAAGTTATTTAAGTAGGACAACAAACCCAGGACTAGGTGACAGGAGGAATTGCCATCAGAAAGCAATAAAATTCTAAGATGTGTTTATGTAGTGAAAATATTTGTTCTAAGGACCGCGTATAGAATATACTCAGTCTGTTTTGTAGGAGGCTCACAAAGGCTCCTTTTGGCTGTCAGAGTTGTTTCTGTAAAGGATAAAAGCTGCTGTGAGTATTGGAGTCTCTATTTCAACTGCAGGATAAGGAATGAAAGAAAAAAATTAAAATGATTATGTGTAAACATCATCACAGAAAGCATATTTAAAATTTTTTGATGTTTGCTTAAAATCTGACTTTTCCCCCGCTTTTGTTTCTGTGCCCTGGACTTGGTTAGCGGATGACCTCAGTGCCAATGAGCAACTCGTGGGCACCCATGCATCAGGCGTGAACTCCATCCTGCCCAAGGAGCATGGCAGCCAGTTTTTCTACTTGCCCATCATAAAGCACAGTGATGAGGAGGTAATTGACCCTTAAGATTCTCTTAAAGGGATTCGGATTAGTGCAAATGCCTGTGGGCATGTCTTCCTATTAAACTGCTGTGGTCTGCTTTGGGGAAGAGGACTGGGAACTTTAAAAAATAGAACATGTCTATTGTCAAAAAAGGTGAGGAAACACATGTATGATTCAATAGAATTGCATTTATTTTCTTTCTCTAACGTATGATGTAAAACTACTAGACCTGAGTTGTGTCTTGTTTCCATCTCCCCATCCTTCCCCTACACCTAGGTTTCAGCCACAGCCTCTTGGGACTCCTCCGTGCATGATTCCATTCACTTGAATAGGGTCACCCCACAGAATGAGAGGATTTACCTAATAGTGAAGACCACAGTCCAGCTCAGCCACCCGGCTGCTATGGAGTTAGTATTACGAAAACGGATTGCAGCCAATATTTACAACAAACAGGTAGTAACGGGGCCTGATTCTGCCGTTGCATATAGGAGCTCAAAGTTTTTTCCTTCTCTCTGACAAAGTAGTGTGTTGTGGTGTTAGTACAGTGGATGTGCAGGTTGATACCATACTGGCCAAGTTAGTCTGATTCTCATTTATCCAAGATAAGGGGCATGAGGATAGCAGAGGTAAATGTCGTCCAACAAAAGACTCTTCCATCTTGACCGATTTGAGACCTGTAATCCTAGGAGGCAGCAGAGCGATGACGTTTCACTGTTTGAAGAAGGTTAAGTACCAGGTCCAAGCGGGTTAGTGACAAAACCAGGAAAAAGGCAGCCTCCAATAAACCCTGTCCTACCGCTTCCCCAGATCTCACCTCAGAGGTGCTGTCGGCGGAACTGATCCTCTCCAGTTTTCTTCTGGCTCTGCCAGGATAGACTGATGAAGCCCTGACGAGATCAGAAAGAAGGCAGCAAATGAGAGAGAGAAGCAACCACAAAAAACCCTGAATAGGCTGCAAATTCTGAAACCTAATCCCCAAATAATAGGTGGACATTATTGTCCCTCAGGGTCGGAGACAAGGATTTTTTGGTTCAGTTTTTTTCTGTTTTACTGAGTACTGTGTGTGTATCAAAAACATAGTAGTTGATAATGCTTTTACAATTTGTAAAATACTAAATAACTTATATTTTTCACACCTCTTAATTCAGCTTTACTTTTTTACCAGAGTTTCACCCAGAGTTTAAAGAGGAGAATATCGTTGAAAAATATATTTTATTCCTGTGGTGTAACCTATGAAATAGTATCCAACATACCAAAGGTAAAATATGTATTACTTTTTAAAAATTTCGTAATATAAGTAATGGAGAATATGTTAATTCTAGAAACTTTTAAATCATTTTCTCACCATAATTTTGATAGAAATACCATTCATATAAAAGTATTATAATTGCCTTCTTGCCACTTAAGGCAACGGAGGAGATTGAGGACCGGGAAACCCTGGCGCTCATGGCAGCAAGGAGTGAGAACGAAGGCACGTCGGACGGGGAGACGTACATTGAGAAGTACACGCGCGGCGTGCTGCAGGTGGAGAACATTCTGAGCCTTGAACGGCTCCGGCAGGCAAGTAACTGTGCAATATCTGGACCAGAAGGATGAGATCACAGCCCATCACCCCAGGTGGACAAAGTTGAATTTATTTATCAAACAACTTCTCTCTAAATCTATTGGACAAGGAAAATTCTAGTAACCATCTCATTAGACAAAATCATTACTTTGACAAAATAATAACAAAAATAAAAATAACTACGGTTTATTGAATATCTCCTTCTTAAGCACTGTGCCTAAGTAATGTAGATCCATTATTTCATTTAATCTTCAAGATAGCCCATAAATACTGTTATAATCCCCATTTGTAAATGAGAAAACTGACAGAAGTTAGCCAACCTACCCAAAGTTACACAGCTAGGAAGTGGTACAAAGTCGGATGTAAACCCAGAAAGCTTGACTCCAAAGTCCGTATGCTTACCACATGCTATTACTATTTCCCTAATGTTTGGACCCAAGTTAACTTCTGTGGCAACAGCAGGACATTCAGGTGAAAATAATCCACTAGGTAGTGGAACTATAAGACAAGAGATGTCATTCCATAGAAACAGTAGGTGAAGTTATGGAAAATGTATTTTAAGCAAAAGGGGAGTAAGATTGGCATCTGTCAGAAAAATCTTCCTTTAATGGAAGTCCCACCTGAATTGCTGCCTGAGTAAAACTCAAACAGCATAAAAGTCAATTATAATTTTGCAGGTGAGATAGATAGACAGAGGTATTTCTTCTCTGTTTTCTCCGTCCACCTATATAAAAAACCCACAACGTAATTGTCTTTATTTCAACAGTTTTCCTGGTTTTATTTAAGAAAAATGTTTTTGATAGATTAAGCAAAAAAAAATTAATGGGTGTAATAAGATTCCAGTCTTGTAAATATGAGTGTATGTGTGTAGGATTGAAATGATCTTTATTTCTATATTTTCTAAATCTTCCACAATAAACATATATTATTTTTGTCATCAGAGGGGAAAAACAATGTTGTTTTCAAATTTACAGGCAGTCACGGTCAAAGAAGCACTTTCCACCAAAGCTCGGCACCTGCGGAGGAGCCTCAGCACGCCAAATGTTCATAATGTGAGCACGCCCCTCCTTGAGTGACTGTCTCAGGGTCTGGGGTGTGGCATATGAGGGGACCTGAGGTTGGGGTGTACAGGTGGGAATAGAACATACGGGACTGGTGTGGGCGTCCCCAAGTGCCAGCCTGCTCCTCTGTCCTAGGAAGCAACCAGAGAACATGTAATATTGCGGAGCCTTTAGTGGAATCTTCCGAATTTGTATTCATAAAGTTATCTCCTTGAAAGAAGTTTCTTGAGACATAAATTGAACATAGTTACTTTAAGGATAAGCTAAAAATCCTGGCTGCCAGGGCCGCCGGGTGCTGCTCTTGAGCCAGTTTATATGCCCTGTTCTAGCTGCCCTGACGATATTACTGTGCTGCCCATCCGTGTGATAGAGCGCCAGACACCTCCATATAGACACTCTCATACTCCCTGGTCTTACCTTTGACCGTTTTGATTACCTTCCTCAACCATTTCATCTAGAAAATCTGATTGACAGAAACTGCTTCCAGTGGAGGGGACACTGTCATGGGAAGAATGGACAGAGGAGTGCAGGGACCACTTCAGGGCAATCTCTTTCCAGAAGCAGCAGAGTAAAAGTCGGATCCTCCCAAGAAAAAGCACAGTGCTATTTGTCTTCCTGCTCTCCAGAATTGCCAGAAAATGATTAAAAACATGGTGAACATTTATAAAACTTATCTTACAGTAGGCCAGAAAGCAAATCCTAGCAAATACCTGTAATCGTTATCATACAGATGACTTCCCCTGACCACAATACAATTATTAGAAATTGATTATAAGAAACTCATACAGTTTATTTTTTTATTTTTTTTATTTTTTCCCCAAAGCCCCAGTAGATAGTTGTACATCATAGTTGCACATCCTTCTAGTTGCTGTATGTGGGACGCGGGCTCAGCATGGCCGGAGAAGTGGTGCGTCGGTGCGCGCCTGGGATCCGAACCCGGGCCGCCAGCAGCAGAGCGCGAGCACTTAACCGCTAAGCCACGGGGCCAGCCCAAGAGACTCATGCAGTTTAAATGGAAAAAACAGTCTTTTAATTAACTTAGGTATCAAAGAAGAGATCATAATGGAAATTAGGATGTATTTAGAACTAAATGATAATAAAAAATGGTGCATGTATCAATAATTGTGGGATGCAGTTAAAGTGATACTTCATGGGAAACTTAGCCCTGAGTTCCCTATTATTCCATTTATACAGCAGAATACTAGACTAGAGAAAATGAAAGAACAAGAGCTACAATTAAGAAATTTATAGCTCTTATCTTAAAGAGTAAAAAAAATAATGAGGAATGAGGAAAGCATCTATAAAAAGTAAAGACCACCTATGAAGTATTCTACCCTCACCCCTGCAAAAAATTGAGTCTAAATCTGATAAGACTCAGGATCTAACTGCTAATATTTACAGAGGACAGAAGAAAATGTTAAGAGGCACCACAGAGGTTCAATTAGCAAAATCCAGACTGTGGGAAACTTTACAGGAAAAATGACCTAGAGAAAAGGGAAAACTCATAAATTAAAAGAGACTTACGAGATATATCATCCAACTGCAATGTATAAACTATTCTAATCCTGATTCAAAATTAACCATGAAAATGTTTGAGACATTTGAACACTGACTGAATGTCTATACTATTTAGAGAACACTTAATTTTTTAAGATGTGATAATGGTATTATCGTTATGGTTTTTAAAAAAGAAAGATGAATTTCTTATATTTTAGGGATTCATAGAGAAATATTTATGGATAAAATTTTTTAAAGATAGAAAAAACATCAGAGTAAATTTTTTAAAAGATGGTAATAATAAATGTTAGAGCAGAATTATAATAAATTTAGATAAAGAAGGAAATAATACAGATTCAAACAGGTGTATGAAATAGAAAACAAACAATAGAATCAACAAAGCTGAAAAGCAGGTTTTTTGAAAAGACTCGTCAAATGGACTGACTTCTAGTTAAGATTGATTGGGGAAGAAAAAATATGAGAGAAGACACAAATATTATTGAAAATAAAAAGAAGCATATCACTACAGAGAGAACAGAGATTTAGACATCATAAGAGCAAACCATGAATAACGTTATGTCAGTAAATGTAAAAGCTTAAACAAAATAGAAGTTTCCTACAAAAACTGAATCAAGAAGAAATAGAGGGGCCGGCTCCGTGGCTTAGCGGTTAAGTGCGCGCACTCTGCTACTGGCGGCCCGGGTTCGGATCCTGGGCACGCACTGAGGCACTGCTTGTCCGGCCATGCTGAGGCCGCGTCCCACATACAGCAACTAGAAAGATGTGCAACTGTGACATGCAACTATCTACTGGGGCTTTGGGGAAAAAAAAGGAGGAGGATTGGCAATAGATGTTAGCTCAGAGCCGGTCTTCCTCAGCAAAAAGAGGAGGATTAGCATGGATGTTAGCTCAGGGCTGATCTTCCACACAAAAAAAAAGAGGAAATAGGGCCGGCCCCGTGGCTTAGCGGTTAAGTGCGCGCGCTCCGATGCTGGTGGCCCGGGTTCGGATCCCAGGCGTGCACCGACGCACCGCTTCTCTGGCCATGCTGAGGCCGCGTCCCACATACAGAACTAGAAGGATGTGCAACTATGACATACAACTATCTACTGGGGCTTTGGGGGAAAAATAAATAAAATTTAAAAAAAAAAAAAAAAAGAAGAAATAGAAAATCTGAATACAGTTATCGCCATGAAGAAGGCCTGAACTCATGGAGAGAGAGAGTTGGTTCGTTGGTGGGAATACACAGTATCGCAAAATTGGCACATCTCCTTAAACTGCTCTGTAAATTCCCGACATAGTTGCTAGCAGGATTTGATAAGCCAATCCTAAAATCCCTGTGGAAGAGGAGAGTTGAAGGTGCACATACCTTATCTACAGCCCAGAGATTCCATGCCTTAATATGTGCTCTAGAGATTCTCATAGATACACAGGATGTGTTTAGAACTAAATGATGCTAAAATAGTACATGTCAATACTGGTTGGATACAGCTAGAGTAGTACTGAGGGGCAGTAACAACAACATTTGTTTCATCATAGTTTATAATAGAAAAAAATTAGGAGCATCCTAGATGTCCATCTAGAATAGAACAAATAATTATTAGACTATTGAAGAAGACCATGTATAGTAAGATACCACTTATATGAATTATAAAAATATACAAAATATTATTATATATTGTATACACATACATGCACATATATCCATAGCCAGCTCTGGTGGTCTAGTGGTTAAGATTTGGCTCTCTCACCACCCCGGTCTGGGTTCGTTTCCCAGTCAGGGAACCACATCACCTGTCTGTCGGTTGTCATACTGTGGCAGCTGCATGTTGCTGTGATGCTGAAAGCTATGCCACTGGGATTTCAAATACCAGCAGGGTCACCCATGGTGGACAGATTTCGGCAGAGCTTCCAGACTAGACAGGCTAGGAAGAAGGACCTGGTCACACACTTCTGAAAAAATTGGGAGTGAAAACACTGTGAATAGCAGCAGAGCATTGTCTGATAGAGCGCTAGAAGGTGAGAGGATAGTGCGAAAAGACCAGGCCAGGTTCCACTCTGCTGTACATAGGTCACTAGGAGTCGGAATCTACTCGACAGCACTAACAGCAACATATATACATATATATGTGTGTGTGTGTATGTATATATGTATGTATATGTGTAACTAATTATAGAAAACCTTTATGGGAATAAATAAACCCCAAATTTAGGATATTCATTACTTCTGAGGAGGGAAGAAAGAGAAGGAGGAGAAGGTCATACAGGCTTCAACTGTATATGTGACATTCTATTTCTTTATATACGTATGTATAGTTTATGTTAAATATATAAACCACACTGATAAAACCATTCATCTGTTATAGGTTTCCTCCAGTCGACCAGACCTTTCTGGCTTTGATGAAGATGATAAGGTGTGCACCTGTGGGCATGGCCAGATTGCTAGCAGAATCTAAGTCTGGAAAGTTAGAGTATCTTGGTGTTTTTAAAATCTTTGGACTTCCCGTCTTAATCTCATGCAGATCATTGTCTCCACGTATCCATTTCCAAGTTCAAATACTTGATGTGAAATTGCTGTGCACTCTGAGTGTTACACAGTTACTTCAAGTGATACTTTCCATACCAGGATAATACCACACATAATTGAATGTCTATATGTTTATGGGTCTAACTCTAAATGGTTTAAGAAGGTATTACACTCACCATAGCAAAATCAAAATTATTTCAAATGGATAAAATTAGAGATTTAAAATTAAAGCTATTTTGCAACATCATCTTACTCAGCAAATATTTCTTAAACATATATTGTATGTAAGTTACTATGCTAGGGGCTGTGAGTGATTAAAGAGCATAGACACAGATTATGTCCTCAAGAAGTTTCAACTCTAGTCCTTAGAGGCAGCCAATTTCTGAGAAGTTGAAGTAAGATTAAATAAGCTTATGTGATATACAGGAGGAGTTTTCTCCCTTTAGTATACCAATATCTTATGCCAGATTGATACTTTTAAATCTCAGGTATATGTAGAGTAACCATACCACCTAGTTTGCCTGGGGCAGTCCCAGCTTATGCCTGCCACCCAGGGAAAATTATTAGTGGAACCATTTCACTCTGAAAAATGTTTCAGTTTGGTCTTTAAATTATCCAGTCGCCCTGATACATACCAAATTCATAAAAGTGGCTGCCTCTGGAGAGGGAGGAAGACGAATGGGACTTGTAGGGGCTCAAAAGGGGATTTCACTCTATTTGTAATGATTTTACTAAATCTTGAACAAATACAATAAAGTATTAACATTTATTCACTCTAAGTATACCTTGGGTATGACAACATTTGTCATATTATTCAGCACTTTTCTATATGTTCGAAATATTCTATAATAAAAATATATAAAGAAGAATATATACGGCCATTAAAAAATAGAAAAAACTCAAATCAGGGCTTCATTTTCCATTTTAGAGGGACTTACTTGCAGTTAACCCATATTTTTGCCTTGTAGGGTTGGCCAGAGAACCAGTTAGACGTGTCTGACTACAGCTCCAGTTACCAAGATGTGGCGTGTTATGGAACTTTACCCAGGGATTCACCTCGAAGGAGTAAAGAAGGGAGTGGTGAGACTGTTTTTCTGTGTTCTTTCTTTATAATTTCTTATGAAAAGCACAGGGGAGAATTCTTTTATAGATGGCGTATAATAAGATAGGAAGCTGAAATTCTAGTTTGCTGGATGATCCGAAACTGTCTTCTTGAATAGAACCTATCATGTTCACTTATTTGATTTCTTTTTGCTTTGTATCCAATATATCATCCAAATAACAATAATAGGCTTTTTGTGTAATACTTTAGAATTTTCAAATCATTTTTCACACATCATTTCCTGATTCTGAATTCAGTTTTGAGACACACACAAATCTTATTACGTTATGATTAGACTGCATTCTTTCCCAAAAAAATATCCACTTCTGTCATGTATTTGTACTCAAATTAAAGGATTTTTTGGGAGACCATGTCTCTGATTCCTAAAGCAATTTCAAAAATGATACCAGAAATGAGTTTGATCAGTGACAACATTACTACCTCAGTGTATAAGCTCCCAGTGCCCTGAAGGGAACAGCATTTTTTGGATATGTAAATCAGCTCTGTTACCTTACACCTTATGTTTTACCTACTAAGTGCCATTGTATCAGTGAATTGGGAAGAAAATATAGAAGGACGCCCAAAAAGGTAAGAAATGAATAAAAGCAAGAAAGAAGGGCCGGCCCCGTGGCTTAGCGGTTGAGTGCGCGCGCTCTGCTGTTGGCGGCCCGGGTTCGGATCCCTGGCGAGCACCGACGCACCGCTTCTCCGGCCATGCTGAGGCCGCGTCCCACATACGGCAACTGGAGGGATGTGCAACTACGACATACAACTATCTACTGGGGCTTTGGGGGAAAAATAAATAAATAAAATCTTTAAAAAAAAAAAAAAGAATTGTCCTTCCTTAGTCATATGGAGCAGGATGGCTGGAGGAAACAAGTGGCTTGCAAGAAAATTTATACAGTATTCATTCATTGAGTATTTTTTGAGCCTCTCCTTGCTATATGCAGTGAAAGATACAAAAAGGTGCCATTCTAGATCTTAAAATCTAACTGTGAAAATGAGATACATAGTAAATAAGATATTAAATGACAAAGTGCCAAGATGCATGTACAAATAATAAGGGCTCTGAGAATTCAGAGAAATGGAAAAACAGCACAAGTTGAAATCGGTGTGGTAAGTGGCACTTAAGCTGGATCTTGAAAAGAAGGTAGAAAATTTGGTTTCTGATTTCTTTGATGCTGTCCAGCCCTTTGATAACTCCTTGTGACTTTGTAGATATATCTTCATTCTTGCCTACCCCTGTTTTAATGCTTAGCCAAATATTAGCTTATTAATTTCTTTGTTATTCCAGATATTCCTCTGGCTAGGTTATAACCTCACTTCCTGTGTGTTGGTTAAAGTGCTCTGGGCCTGGAAACCCATGCCTTTTTGTCTTCCCCAGGTTGCACATCAGAGAATCATGCCTTAACAGTCAGCCCTTTTAAAGCATTCTCTCCTCAGCCACCAAAGTTTTTCAAGCCCCTAATGCCTGTAAAGGAGGAGCATAAGAAAAGGATGGCTCTTGAAGCAAGGCCTCTTCTAAGCCAGGAGGTAAGCGCTTGACTTGTCTGTGCCATGTAAAATAGATGGAATCGAGTTGCCTGTGGAGAAGTAACGACTTGCATTAACCAGTCGGATGCTGCATGTCGACCTGTATGAGTTATCACTCTATGGATCCTATTCTGGAACCTCTTTCTCAAGCACACAGGGTCATGTAGAATTTTTTTATTTCTTATGGCTGTTGTTTTCTTAGTGTTGATTGCTTGTTAACGTGTTTTTTATCTTTCAAGTGAGAAAGAGATGTTCTCTAGGTGTTTTGTATATATTAAAGGCTTTTGTTTTATTTTTTTAATTTGATAAAACCGGTTATGCTATTTGCCATAGAATCTGTGTGGTCTTGTCAGATTTCATCAGTAGTTTAACTCCAGCCTGCAAAATTGTTGTGCTGCACTACTCACGTTGTAATAAAAGTGTTTGCATTGCTTTTCTAACTTGCACGCACTTAACGTGTATTTTGGCTGTCGTCGTCTTCTGTGTGTGATGCATCTGTGTGTCTTAACCTTTGCAGAGCATGCCTCCATCTCAGGCACATAACCCTGGCTGCATTGTACCCTCAGGAAGCAATGGCAGCAGCATGCCTGTAGAAAACAATAGCAAACGTGAGAAGAAGATTGTAAGTTCTGAAACCATTTCTGTCATATTGCCTGGTGGTGGGTTTAAGGCCCTTTCACAGACAATCATCCAAATACTTTAGAAGAAATTAAGATGTGTATTGGGTCTTTGCTTTTTTAAAAAATGTGACCATCAGTAATGAAATTGTGCATGAACATGGCCATGACATACAATTTTTCTAAGTGTTCATTCCATTTTATTTATTTGTCTGCATAGTATAAATTTGCTTAGAAAAAGGGAAGAAGGCACTTTTAATGATTCGAATCTTTAAAAGGTGTAACAAAGAAATCACTTTAACTAATATTGAATCTTTCTAATGTGCCTATACATATTGCCCAGATTCTGAAGTTAATCTACCTAGAGGAATTGCACTTACTTGCAGTAAGTAATCATTCATTTAGCTGTGGGTATGTTTGAAAGCTTTTTTTGTGTTGCCTGATGCTATTGCCAAGAGCGTTCTGTAGTTTGTAGCCACACTACAATCCATCATCACCCATCATCGTCATCTCTACATCTCAGGTAGCCTTTTTAAATTTGCTGGCCAAATATGTTCCAACTTCCTTGGTGTCAGTCTCGCTTTCAGAATGGCTTATGTAAATTTTGCCACAGGTAGGTTGAAATTCTACCTGTAAAACCTCATTCTCTAGCACTTCGTTTTCAAATTACAAACTTGAGAAATAGTTCTTGAAACATTGTATGCCAGGGCCCAGTCTGGTGGCATAGTGGTTAAGTTCATACACTCCGCATCAGCCGCCCGCAGTTGGTGGTTCGGATCCTGGGCACGGACCTACGCACCACTCATCAAGCCATGCTGTGGCAGTGTCCCACTTACAAAAAATAGAGGAAGATTGCCACAGATGTTAGCTCAGGGCCAATCTTCCTCACCCCAAAAAAAAAAAAAAAAAACCACTGTATACCACACACTTTGGATTACAAATGATACCTCAACTAAAAAAAAATAACCTATATATTCTAAGGCCTGGAAAGAATTCTCTAATGTTGTGTCTGAACTTTCATTCTCTTGTGGCTTCCTAGACTTTGAAAAAGTAAAGCAGCTTGGAGCAAGGAAGGGGCTGCTTGATGTTGACGTCTGCATGCGGTCTGCTCTGTGGGCAAAGTGTGGGAAGTTTCCTTTCCCAGTGACGCCATGTCAGATCCATTCCAAAGGCTCATTAGTGTGAGGTCCTTTAACAGTTCTAGAATATGCTGCTAACGCACACTGTGTGAAACTAACTGGAACTTAATCCAGACATGCCGTTGGCCACTCTCCTGCAAGCTTGAAGTTCTAGTGGATCTTAAGGAATGACTTGCTCAAAAGCACCATTTTCCCCTCACCACTCTGTCCTTCTCCCCTACTTTGCCTCTATACTCCCCCATCCCTCTATCCCAAAGCCCCCATCCTAGCCCCTGCTGGCGAAGAGGGTGCACATCAACAACTGCTCCTTCATCTCTCTGCATCTTAATAAGCCGTTCAGTCATTTACTTGACCCCCCTCCCCCCGCCTAATTAATAAGGGCTGCAGCTTGGGCTAAAAAAGGCCAAGTGGTTAGTTTGTTACCCCTTCAAATTCTCTGGCTCTGTGGCTGATTGGATCTGTCTGTTTATTGACATGGCACTCACCACCATAGTGCATAGGCACTAATTTTAGACCTCTTTTATCAATGCATTTTGGTAGAACACACCATCAAGAGACTGCTAGATGAGTCTTCTGGGGCTGCCCAACAGATGGTTTCACTATTCACAGATTTGGCCTCATAGTTATTTCCTTTACTTTCCTTTTAATATTTTTAAAGAAAATCCACCTCAGGACTTGGAGCTATCAGAGGGTAGGATGGAACAAGATTCTCTTGACCCGAGGAGTCTCAGCGGCAGTTGGACTCTATGTAGTGGAATACGCTGGTAGGCTTTCACAGGACCTTTTTTCTTGCTGGGATCTTACTTGAGAGATCTGTCTCTACTCTCCTTAGAAATCTGGCTCGCTGAGCACCCTTCATCTCTGAAGCTGTGGAACTGTTTGATTCATTTCAGGTAGCAGCTTTTCCAGGATGGTTTTGGTAGATTTTAAGGGTATTACTTGCTTGATCTAAGGTTCTAGTTTCTCTTTGAGAAGGTTTAATTTCTCCCCTTGTAAATGGATATAAACTGCTTTATTCCTTTGTTCCTTACTCACTTTCTTTCCTTGTTCATTCTTGAAAAATCAGAGAGTGAATCAGTGGTTCAGTCTGATCAAGGGAGTTTGAAATCATTTTTGAGAAGCAATGTTGAGACATTGTTCCTTTCATTTTTTAGCCCATCCAATTACCATATGCTTGATTCTTAAAGCAAGATTTTGTTGTCTGATCAATTTGGGAAGATATACAAATGTCCTTCATGTCTTGTATGAATAAGATAGAGGCATTTGGAATTTATCTTTTTAAGTCATGAAGCAAAAAGAAAAGCAGAAAAGGTCTTGCATAGACAGCATATGGTTTATTTCTCTCATTTTGCATAAGAAGAAACAAAAGACTTGCTGAGTGACTTGCCCAAGAACTCACAGTTAATGAGGGTGTAAGAACAAAGACCCTGTCCCTCAGCAGAATTGGACTGACCCCAGTGACTCCAGGTGCTCCCAGAGGTAGTCCACTTTCAGTCGCCTTGCTGCTGCTCTTTCTAAAAGGGGCTGCCCACCCTTAGTACCATGGACAGAAGTACTGGGTGACCTCACTGGTACAGTCCTTCTGAAAACAGACCATCTCTATGATGGATAACACAGACCCGATTATAGTGGGAGTGAAAATGACTTTAATCAAGTGAAACTCCTTGCAGAGAGTCACTGCTTTAATGTGGGTTTTGATCGCTTCTTAAAATCAGGGTGTTTTGTCTATAGGTAAATATCAGCTGCATAAACTAAATCATAAAAATCAGATCATGAAGACTGTAGCTATAGAGAAGCTTGAGAACTTGACTCCATGCTCCACTTGGAGGTAGAGTTTTAATTCTTTTTGTCCTTAAGACATAGTAGGAAGGTGCTTAGTTTAGTCTCCTTTAAGATACAATAATAAATAATATTTCTGGTATAAAGAGTCTGTCTAACCAAATTCTCTGAACATACAGTTTAAGCCAATTAAGTCCTCTTTTTTCTCCTTAAAGACAATAACTTGATAAACTTTCAGTCTTTTTTTATATGTTGGAAAATGTTTAATCTCTACTCAGTTTTCTTTTTTCTGGAATTAGTTATCCTTACTCCTTTAGCTTTTCTTTTTGGGTCATTGCCCCTCATTCCCCTAGAGCATAACTGTGTACTGATCCCTATTTGAACTTAATCTCTTGGGGGTTTTTGGTAGACTCTTCGGTTTTGCTAAGGTCCTTCTAATCCTTTAGGGATAATTTTGTGTGTGTGAGTTTGATAAATGTACACAGATTTCTACACATTAAATTCATGATTGAATATTTCACTGAGCAAAGTTGTATTTTAGGATGACAGGCCTTTCCTCGGTCTTCAGAAGAAATAACTTCAGGCGTAAAAAGGGCCCCAAATTACTAATTTTCATCTTCAAATTTGGTTTTCCTTGCAACAACTAACTTTTTAGTAATTAATTGCATCAGGGACTCTTGGGCTTGGGAAATTATGTTTCTTTGCCAGCTTAAATCAAAAGGAAATATAAGAGATACAAACACTTGAAATTAAATTTTGAGTATAAACTAGTAGAGAATCTAGAAAACATAGGCAAAGCCTACTGATTCAGACCATTCTGTCCAGTCTTTGCTCCTTTACAAACATTCCCCCCAGCCCCAGGGAGAGAACCCTCTACCCCAGCCCTCTTTTAACAGTGCCACTTAATTTAGAATGTGGCTAAAGATAAGATGGCGAGATTAGTGTTTGCCAAAAATTTTGTTTTGCTCGTTTCTGGGACTTTATCACTGATATTTGATATTCACTTTTGATTAATAGCCATGGAATTAAGATGATTGCTTTTTAATAATTCACATTCAAGTTATTTTAAAAGCTAAGAAGCATTGAGGAGTATTAACCTATCTTTTAGGTATTTAAGATCTTATGAGATGCAAAATAAAATATTACTATAAAATTCAGTAGATGAAATTTATGTTCTTTTGTGAACTACCATCTGCCATATTTGTGGAGCGTGCTCTTCTTCCCCCTCCTAATCCTCTCTCTATCCCCCACCTCTTCCCTCCTTTCTCTCTCTCTCTCCCCCCACGCCCCCTCTTCTCTTTTTGAAATGAAACCTTAATGAGTAAAGTTGATGTTTTGGTTCCAGGTCTTTGCAGTCACCCTATTGTTATACTGAATGAAATTTCCATCCACTAAGCAGTGTCCAGGATTGTTCTAAGAACAAGAACCCAAAGTCTTAACTCCCTGAGGGCAGGGACCATGCCTGTTTTTGCTCAACATTGGTATTCCCAGTACTTAGGACAATGACTGGCACATAGTGGGTGCTTGATGAACATTTGTTGAATGAAAGTCACGTTTTAAAAGAGAAAAGGAATATTTGCAATGTCTGCAGATGTTTATGAGATAATTAGAAATGACTAGATAGTAATATCATTTATTTTTATTTAAACATAAAATACTCATATGTTTTACATTGTTTTCTACCAAATATAAAAGAATCATTCATTTGGGGAGGGAGACTGGGGAGTTGATAACACCCACTTTTGCATATTTACCAATCTTTATAAACAGAATTCTGAAGCTATTTGACAAAGGAGATTTTCATTTAAATCTCACTGTCTTCTTCACTTTCTAGCCAAATCCTCTATCCATGCTTCTCAAAAATCCTAGAAAAGAGTAATTGTCAGATTGATTGTTAGTATTTTATAGCCTTAAAATGTTTAGTATAATACTAAGAATGGATGTTGAAATTGTGTTCTTTGGCCTTTTGCTGTTGGGATCTTTATTTTATACTGCCCTTTCTCCCCATAAAATAGCTCAGAAGCTTTTCACAAATTACCTTACTTATCTATTCCTGGCTTCCCAAGGTGAGGATTCTAAGAAGAAATGAAGCAGCAGCTCTTCTCTGCCTCTGGCTTTCCGTCTACTCATTTAATTAGAAAAGGGAAAACATCACAACTGAAAACTAATCATGAGTAACTAATTAAAAATCCACTGCACTTCGTTCCACCCTTTCTCTTAAACCAGGGGAAGAAAGGTTTCTAATTATTAGCATGGAGTGAGGACAGAAGAAATAAATCTCCTTCATATTAGGTGATAATGGGTTCACAGATCTCTGAGAATAATGTACCTGTGTCCACAATAGGTGACAAGATTTAACCAAACTCAGAAAGAAAAAAAAAACCCACTAAACATGTGAATGTGAATGCCTTTAATAGTAAAGTATCTAAAACTTGTCTCAACAATACAGTTGCTATAAGGAGCTAATGACTGACTTTTGCTTCATTTCTGTAGGACTCTGAAGAGGAAGAAAATGATTTGGAAGCTCTTAACAGGAAGCTGATAAGTTCACAGCCTTATGTACCTGTGGAGTTTGCTGACTTCAGTGTTTACAATGCCAGCTTGGAGAACAGGGAGTGGTTTTCTTCTAAAGTAGATTTGACGAACTCAAGAGTCTTGGAGAAAGAAGTGTCCCGTAGCCCTACCACCAGCAGTATTACCAGTGGCTACTTTTCCCACAGTGCCTCCAATGCCACTCTGTCTGACATGGTGGTCCCTTCTAGTGACAGCTCAGATCAGCTAGCCATTCCGACGAAAGATGCAGACTCCAATGAGCGTTCCGGAGCACAATCATCACTTGTGCATGATTTCAGACCATCCTCAAACAAAGAGCTTACAGAACTAGAAAGAGGCTTGGTAAAGGATAAGGTAATCATGGTGCCACTCAAGGAAAACAGTGCCTTAGCCAAAGGGAGCCCATCATCCCAAAGCATCCCTGAGAAAAACTCCAAAACACGCTGTAGGACTGGCTCATGTTCAGAACAAGATGCCTGTGCCAGCAAAAATGGCCAACCGGCCAGAGAATTCTGCCCCAGGGAAGTGACCATAGAACACACCACAAACATCCTTGAGGATCATTCTTTCACGGAGTTCATGGGTGTGTCAGATGGGAGAGATTTTGACGGTTTGACAGATTCTTCTGCTGGAGAGCTTCCGAGTAGGAGGAACCTACCAAATAAAATGGACAATAAGAGTGTCTCAGATGGGCCACAGGACCCTGGCCAGCTGCATTCCTCAGCAGAGAATGACCAGGTAATAGATTCCAGAGGCAGTCCTTTGGGTTCTGTGCTATTAATGAGCATGCCTAATTGTGCACTAACCCCCAGAGGCCCTTCACCACAGTGACTTAGTAGAAGAGATTCATTCAGATGTTTCAGACAGGGAAGATGGACCCACTGGGGAGCTAGCTCACATGCTGCCCAGCTGGCTGGCCGTGGGGAAGCAAGCCTGCTTGTATAGTTTGAGTAGAAGTATGAAATATATATGACCGGTGGCTTTTCTAACTGGCATATGGGTTGGTGTTGAATTAAACATTCACTTGGATAAGGATCAGTCAATCTCGTATTCATCCCCTGAGATGTTTAATTACTGGCTATCCCAAGGTATTCTGGTAGAGCCTACCATATTTTATCAAATCTGTGATTTCTTTGATTATTAGCTGCACCATTATTTTATGTATCATTCAGAAAAAATAATTCCAATTAAATTATATCATATCAGCACTTGTAAGCCACATCCCAATTTCAGAGATGTTAAAATGAATGGGAAAAAACATGTATCGTAGAATCGATAAAATACAGTCATTTGGTGACTATAAGTAAAAACATGTTTTGGGGAAATATAGGTGAATTCCTGGAGCAATTAAAGTTTGGGCTTTGAAAGTTACTTATGGTTTATTATAACGTTTAATTTTCATATTGGAACAAAATGGATTTTTGCTAATATTCCTAAGGAAAATAGCAAATTATATAAATAAGAGATTATCCGCTTCTCAGTGCGGTGCTCCTGAGGACCACCATTTTGTCCCATTTGGGGTCACTGTTTTGGTCCCACACCCCAACTGCAGCTGTGTAAGGGGTATGGGAGCGCCAGGGCTCAGCAAAGCAAGGAGCTGATAGAACTAGAAGGCGGCGTGGTGAAGGAGATCATCATGGAGACGTTCAATCTCTCTGTTTTGCTGAGGAAGTTGTCATTTCAGCTTGGAGGCTTTTCCCCCCCAGGTTTTCCACACTAGCCCTTAAAATTTCAGCGTGTGGTCATTTATACAGCATACTCATAAATAAACCGCAAAAGCCTAAACAGTGGGCTCTTACAATAAGAAAAAGACTGCTTTCCCCATGTAAGAATAAGAATAAAGTGACTCATTACCACTCTTGCAATCTAAACACTCATTTGTTTCAGAGTCTTCAACTTCCTTTACACTGATCTTAAGCACACTCTGCATTGCTGGCCTACATCAGCTTCCCAGTCCTTCTTCCAAGAAGCCCGAGAGGGACTTGGTGAAGGAGCCCAGGGATTAGTTCTTCACCCTAGCACACTGCTTCTCAAGCTGAAACGTGCAATAGACTTACTGGTGGCTGTTGGGAGAGGGTGCCTCTTAAAAATTCAAATTCCCAGGAGTCACTGCCCTGCACACCTAAGATTTTACCTCAATACAGGGTAGAGCCAGGGGGATAAGGTTTTCACAAACCCCTGCGCTGAGGTAATATGAAGTGGGGTGTCTGAGGGCTGCGGTGTGAGAAGCACGACCCATAGAAGAGGGAAGAAGGGCAACAATCCCCCCTCTTGTTTCATTGCCTGGGTTGTTTAGAACCCAACACACAGGAACAATACCTGATTTTTGCTTTCGAAAGGCTCCAGAATAGCGTGTTCCTCCCAAACGTCTTGGTTTAAAAGTGGAATTTACAAAAATATTTGTTGTATCAGGGTAATGTGGGATTACGGTGATTTTTCCTTTTCTTTAGTATTTTTGTTGTATTGGTTTTTTGTGTGTGTGTGTGTGTGTGAGGAAGATCAGCTCTGAGCTAACATCCATGCTAATCCTCCTCTTTTTGCTGAGGAAGACTGGCCCTAGACTAACATCTGTGCCTATCTTCCTCCACTTTATATGGGATACTGCCACAGCATGGCCTGACAAGCAGTGCATCAGTGCGCGCCAGATCCGAACCTGGGCCACCAGCAGCAGAGCGCGCACTTAACCGCTACGCCACAGGGCCGGCCCCATGTTATATTGGTTGTAATAAGTTGCTTTGACAGTGTTAAAGTTGGAGAACTTTTTAAGTACTGAAGTTTGACGTTTGTTCTCACTTTGATATAAGGTAGAGTGGGGGCCCAGAAATAACATTCCACCCCCCCCCCTTTTTTTTTCCCTAAAGCCCCAGTAGATAGTTGTATATCATAACTGCACATCCTTCTAGTTGCTGTATGTGGGACGCGGCCTCAGCATGGCCGGAGAAGCAGCGCCTCAGTGCGCGCCCGGGATCCGAACCCCGGGCAGCCAGTAGCGGAGCACGCGCACTTAACCACTAAGCCACGGGGCTGGCCCCAGAAATAACATTTTTTAACTTTAACCTTGGGTCTTACTGTCAGTGCTTTTCCTAGAAGCTTTACCTTCTAAGTTTCTCCCTTGTATGGTGTAAATCCTAGAGCTGGATTCCATAATAAACCAGATCCTGTGGGTCCCTGTAGGAAGAGCCCCTTGTGTGGGGTGAGCATGGGGTGGGTACACTTTGGCTGGGGGTGGTCCCTGTGGGTGGGGAGGGCAGGTGGGGACAGGAGCTTGAACTCACCAGCCTCTGCATTCCAGGGGAGCACAACCACACGGTGAAAGGCAGCAAGGACTTCCTCCGCAGGCCATGGCATCTTTGTTCCGGTCACCTCTTAAAAGCGCCAGTCCCATAAACATGCTGCGGCCCAGCCAGACCTCAGACCAGCGGAGAAGCCCTGTGTTTCTGGGGCCACCTCCTTTCACCTCCCAAGCGGGGAGAAGCAGCACTTTGTCACTCGGGTGAATCGGCAGCCTTGGCTTTTTCCAGAAAGCCAGACAACCGAAAATCCTGGATCAATTAAGTGGCAGTATTCTTGTTTGCACTTACTATACTTCTACACTGTGTAGAAACCTCCACAGATTCAAACAAACTTTATTCTTGTACAATTTTAATCAATTCTTACTGTAGAATCTGGAGTCAATGCTCTAATTTTTTTTTATAAATAATATATATTATGTATATGAAATGTGTATCTATAGTATGTCTGCTTGGAGACAGACAAGACTGCGCTCTAAATGCAGATAAAAATGGTTTGTAGAAAATCATAAGGTACTAGACTTTGTTACAAAGCAACTTGGGCAATCTCTTATAGACTAGTGGATGAAAAAGATTTGATTGCCTAAGAATGAGGTTGCAAATCCCTCTTTGCAGAAAAGGTTACAGAAGGCCGTTCTTTATAACCAAAGAACTTACATAAGACTGAACGTTTTCACTGTCCCCTCTTGTTCCATGTGTACATATATGTTTGACTGCAAGTTTGGTGCCAACTCCCCTTGGCTACCAGGCCACATGCTGCCATTCTCTGTCCTCTGTTTCATAAGCACACTGAAAAATCTCACAGCTATATTCTTTGGTCTTCCACCTGGCCCACTACCTGCTGACTCGACCTTGTATTATAACCATTGACAATGACTGGGGCTCTGACTCCAGCGTTTCTTAGACCTTGGTTCAGCCCAGCCAGGCCAGTGGAATGCGGAGAGCAGTATTACTGTAAGAAAACACAAGGAAATACCAAGAGTTGGGTTTGGGGAGGGAGAGGGGGTGTTGGTTTTTGTCTTTTTGTGGTTTTATTTTGGATTGGTAGGTTTTGTTGTGGTGTGGTTTTGCTGTTGTTATTTTACTCAATTCTGGAAAATGCTGAAGAGATGGAATGAGCTATAAAGTTCACGGGTGCCCACTTCACCATATTTGCAAGAGATGATTGACTCCAGATGACCCTGCTGTCCATGTCTTCGTCTGTAAAATTCTCCTACTGATGGAGATGTTGAAGGATTATGTGTGCAGAAATTTTTACAAAGGTACTTGATGTACCTACTCTGTAGATGCCTGTACAATTGGTCTGAATGTACAGCAATAAATGTGTTGTGAGAGTGAGAGAATGTGTACAGCCTGCTGTACCTGTTTTCTTTAAGTTCTTAGCATCAGTAAATGAGTAAGATATTGGAGACTTTAATGAAAAGCTGCTGTTCATGATTTTTGTGTATAGTGAGCTGACTGTAGTATTTTACTATTGTCTGTTTAAAAAAAGAAAAACTGTAATTTATATCATCCCTTTCAACTTTATTGTATTTAATTGGTACAGATTTTTTGTGTGTGTTTTAGAATATAAAATGTCTAATTCAGATTTTAAAACATCAGTTGTGTGTCGTTAATAACTCTGCCATTAGTCTCAGATCTATGTTTCCATATTTGTATGTGAGCATGTCATTGTAGCTTAAACGATAATAGTAACAGCCAACATTCGTTGAGGATTTACTGTGTACTGGGCACCATTCCCAACATTTAACATTTATTGTCTCGCTTAGTCCTCACAGCAACAGATGCCATAGGTACTGGTGTTATTAAGTGTTTGAATGGAAACTGAGGTGGAGAGGTGAGTGATGGAGAGGGTTGCAGAGCCAGCACTCAGCGCATGCTCCCATCAGGCTCTCCTCTCCATGTTGTGTCTGGTGATGTGTCATGGAGGGGCAGGCCTCTTGAAGGGAAGACAGAGCACCTTCAGAGAGCACAAGGGCTGTGGTGAGTGTCACAGGTTCCAGACCAACCAACATGAATGGGCAGCATCTGGAGCAGATAGGACAGTGTGTTATATGTGCTCACGATGCTTAAACAGATCTTCAGGGCAAAGAGCGGTGCCCTGCCACCCGAGAAACCGTGGCTGAAGAGAGCTTATAAGCAAGTTTTATCTAAAAATGGTATTACGGAATCTTTCAAAAAAATCTCAGTAGTTCACAGTAGCCTTTCTGAAGTGATCAAGAATTAGATCTAGCCTATTCTGGACAGCAGAGTGTCTTACATAGCCTTCCAAGAGAAAGCAGAGAGGGGGAAAAAAAAACCCAAAACCCACTTGAATTTCATAGAATGGGATTGGAGGAGGAAAGTAGCTGTTTAATATTTAAATAAAGGATGACAACTACAAATACAGTTCAAGGCAAAACGAGTAAATTGTCATTCGCTTTTCTAGCATGAGATCTATGCTACTTGGTCATTGACATTATCATTTGCCGTTATGACCATGGGAGAGCAAACTGGTTTTAGCACATATTTTGTTGGATAGTTAAATATAGACATGTGTTTAACAGTTAATTTCCAAAGTAAAATCGTATTTGTTTACAGTTATTGGACACATTTTATCATGGTAAAAATTAGCCTTGTGTTTCTAGGGTACCAACTTATGGATAGAATAACTGTTTATACAAACACTTTTAGGTTAGGAAAGGGCAAGATGCTATCTTCTGTTAAATTATCCTGCTCTGGCCAATACTTATTTTTAAAATTACAATCTTCAAGCTTTAGAACTATGTTGGGGAAAAAACTAATTACATGATTAAGCTTTATTACAAAAAATAAAGCTTTCTGGTCATGTAATTAAAAAGTCTTAAAAGAAGCTGTAATTGAATAAATTCTTGCTCTCTTCTTTTCTGGACCAAGAGCTAAAAACAGAAAAGGATGCTACCGGTATGCAGTCATGTAGAGAGCTTTTTGTATTCAGCCTTGAATTTATCACAGTAACACTAGCACAAATGTCTTTCTGTAATGTTCAGCCTACCTCCTAAATTAAAAAACCACAACAGAAAGTCCATCTGTAATATAGAGCAGTTCATCTCAGGTTTTCTGTTAACCTGGAGGAAAGGCAGTCTCCTCTAATACCCAGCAGCATCCCATCAGACATCTGGGGGTTACTACAGCATCCTGCTGGTGGGGGAGCCTAGAGTGTAGAAGACTCCACGAGAATGCCCAGAGGCGAGCTCTGCCCTTTGATACATTATGAACTGGAGCTGACAGGAGTGAAAAAAATCCCAAAGTCTAAATTTAACCTGCTTGTCATTTGTTTTTAATCCCCCAAGGTGAGGGGAAAGATCATTGTAGATTTGAGTGCCACTCAACGGTCATTTTTTTCCTGGATACAGTGAGTCAATTTAAGTTGAAATAAGACTTAGTCTTTATCTTGCTGATGTTCTAGGACACACACTAACCTCTGTATATTCTTGGAAAAACCAGTTATTTTTCCCCTTTCTGAGACTCACTGGGTGCCTGTATCGTTGCATACAGTTCTTAGAAGACTGTGGCTCAAGAAGATGCTTTGGGTACCTCGCTCACTGTAATCTGAGCCCAATTGGCAACAACCACCATCTTGGAGCTTATTGCAGGTTTTCGCAGCGCCAGATTGTCCAAGAAAGGAACTCTTGAATCCCTATGGGACCCTATTCATGAAGACATTGAGAGACTGATTAATAGAACAATGAATGTTTTACAAACAAAAAGGTAAGTTTTGAAATTGGAGTCTCTGGAGGAAGATCAACTTGGAGAGGGGAAAAGAGGTCCAGTTTGGTTTTAGAGTTGTACAAACCAACTTGACCCTTCCACAATACCTAAAACACTTGTAACTAGATTTTAAAACTGGAAAACGTTGGTGTTTATAACTTTTAACAGTTATTTTGGGCCTTCATCTCGCAAATATCTGCCTGAACCAAAACGTATAGAGATATTCTTAGGTTTCTTTGTTATTGTTTGTCTTTTCTTAGTCTAGCATGTGTTTTGGGGAATATCACAGCAGAGCAGATGTATTTTTCTTTGACTAAAAATATTAGGAAAATAGATCTGAGCCCAAAGCCACACCTTCTTATAATTGATTGGTCACCCTTGTTGAAACAGCATAATTTTTACCTAGTGTATGGTCAACCACCAATAAGCCAAGCTACTTAAAAACACCAGAGTTAAAATACTTAGCCACAGCAACTGCTAAGAAAAGAGAAATTCACTAAGAATGAAGATGTAAGATCTAACCTCAGTACTACTTGCATCCAAGGCTGTCTTAATGATGATATGAGAATGCCAATTTAGCCACATTTTTTTTTCCTAATCCTTTTATATGTAATGGTATATATTTGTGAGAAAGCTAGTGTATTATTTATCTATTACTTCAAAATGAATTACTCAAACTCAGCAGCTTAAAACAGTAATAAACATTTATTATCTCACACAATTTCTGTGAGTCCAGAATTCAGAGGTGGGCAATTCGAGGTAGTTCTGGCTCCAATTGCTCATGAGGTTGCAGTGAAGATGTCAGCCAGAGCTGCAGTTATCTGAGGGCTTGACTAGAACTGGGAGGACCCGCTTTTGGAGTGGTTCACTCACCTAGCTGGCAAGCTGGTGCTTCCTTGCCATGTAGACCTCTCCATGCTGCTTGAGTGTCCTCATGACATGGTGGCTGGCTTCTCCAGTGTGAGTGGTCCTACAGAGCAAACAGAAGCAACAATGCCTTTTGTGTGTGTGTGTGTGAGGAAGATTGGCCCTGAGCTAACATCTGCCAATCCTCCTCTTTTTGCTGAGGAAGACTGGCCCTGGGCTAACATCCGTGCCCATCTTCCTCCACTTTATATGGGACGCCGCCACAGCATGGCTTGCCAAGCGGTGCATCGGTGCACGCCTGGGATCTGAACCAGCGAACCCCGGGCCGCCGCAGCGGAGCACGCGCACTTAACCGCTTGTGCCACTGGGCCGCCCCCGCAACAATGCCTTTTATGACCTAGTCTCAGAAGTCATACTTTGTCACTTCCACCATATTATTCATTAGAAGTGAGTCGTTAGTCCAGCCTCCACTGAAGGGGAGGGAATTAGGCTGTCCCTTTTGAAAAGAGGAATATCTAAGAATTTGTAGACATATTTTAAAACCACCATAACTAGTTAGGAGTTATATAGCTGAGGCCATGGGCCAAAGCACAGCTAACTGGAACACATGAGTGAACACA